CCTTTTTACATAGATTCCTGTGGTAGAGGAATACTATGAGCTAACAAATGCTGGACCAATCACCGACTCATCCACTCGATTATGTCACTCCAACTGGCTCCCAAATGATGGCTGCAGCAGAAGCAATGCCAATGAAAGATCAACATCAAAGGACTCAAGGACCTAATCATGTGACACCTCTTTCACCAGTGCCTTAATGAAAAGCTGGTGAATTCTAATCAATAACCATGGGAGGATGTTGGCAGAGCCTTCAAATCCACCAATCCAGCACCTGTGAAGAGACTTGGATTTTCTACCAGGAAACATCAAGACTGGTTCGGTGAGAATGACTGGGAGATCCAAGAGTTAATTGACTGCAAACACAAGGCCTTTTGTACTTGGCAGAATGACATCAGCTCCTAGCAAGAGAAATTGAATCACCAACAAGCCAAGGCAGAGGTCCAAAGGAGGACCTGTGATATGAAGATTAGATAGTGGGAAGACAAGCTGAAGGTGATTCAACATCTCGCTGACATCCATGACATGGTTTTTTCAGTGCCACCAAACCATCTATGGTCTGAGCACTCAGGGGCCAACCCCCTTCAGTCCTAAGGATGGAGAAGACCTGGCCAAGGAAAAAGGAACCATCAACACCTGTTGGAAGGAACATTTTGAAGACCTTCTCAATCAAGACTGTTGAACATTTTGAAGGAGACATTCTGAAGGAACATTTTGAAGACCTTCTCAATCAAGAGTGTTCTCAACTCCATCCCACAACACCCAGTAAAAAATGATCTTGGAATCCCTCTAACACTTGATGAGGTGAGGAAAGCTATTAAGCAGATGAAGAATGACAAGGCATCTGGAGCTGATGGAATCCTCACTGAAATCTTCAAGCAATGGGGAGGGGAGCTCACATCACAGCTCCATGCCTTCATCTTAAGGATCTAGAATGAGGAGGAAATCCCAGATGACCTCAAGGATATCATGATCATGACAATCTTAAAGAAGGGAGACAAATCCAATGGTAGAAATTACAGAGGGATCACCTTGCTGTCCACCACAGAAAAGATCACTGTGAGAAACCCCTTGAACCCTCTCCTTCCACTTGCTGAAGAGTTCCTCCTGTAATCCTAGTGTAGGCACAATTGATATGATCTTCACTGCTTACCAGCTGCAGGAAAAATGCTAGGAACAATATACATCTTTCTACATGGCCTTATTTGACCTCATGAAAACCTTTGACTCTATCAACCAAGAAGCTCTGTGGAGGATCCTTCTGAAGTATGGATGCCCACTTAAATTCATCACTGTTCTTTGCCTGCTCCAGGATGGTATGTGAGCAGTAACAGATCTATCACAGATCCTGAAGCAAGGCTGTCATCATTCCAACATATTGATATTCCTTACTGAGATGCTACATCTGACCACCAACAAGCTTCCAGTCAGTAGAGCTAAACTACTGAATGGACGGGAAACTGTTTAATCTCAGCTGATTTTGAGCCAAAACCAAAACTACCCCAACCTCAATCATTGAGCTCCATTACACTGATGATGCTGTAGTGTGTGCTCACATGTAAGCAGACCTTCAGGCAATCACTGAAGTCTTTACTGAGGCATACAACAAAATGGGACTGATGCTTAACATTCAGAAAACTAAGGTCCTCCATCAACAAGCTCTTAATGAGCAGTCCCAGTGTCCAGTTTAGCCAGGAGAACACTGAATATTTCGTATACCTCAGAACCCATCTCTTGCAGAAGGCTGTCATCAATAAAGAAATCCAACATCACCTTAAAAGTGCAAGTGCAACCTTCAGACACCTGAGGAAATGGGTGTTTGAAGATTGCAACATCAGATCCAAAACCAGACTCATGGTTTATCAAGCAGACATGAACTCCAGCTTACTGTGCAGAGCTGAGATGTAGTCAACATCTACTTGAGACACCTGAAGTCACTGCAGAAGTACCATCAGTGCTGCCTGAGGAAGTTCCATTGAATCCAGTCAGAAGACAGACACAGCAACATTAGCATCCTCTTGCAAGCAAAGAACATGGACATCGAAGTGATAATCATCCAACATCAGCTTCGCTGGGCCAACCATATCATACAGATATCTGACTCAAGACTCCTGAAGCAAGTTTTATTCTCCCAGCTCAGTCAAGGCATACACTCAAGAGGAGGGCAGAGAAACTGCTTCAAGGATGTTCTCAAGGCCAATTTGAAAAAATGTAACATTGACATCAATTCATCGGAGACTATCGGCCAGGACTGCCCCAAATAGAGGGAGAGATTTCTGCAAGGATCTCAGTACTTTGAAACCTTATGATGACAACAGAAGATGGAAAAGTGGAAGTGGCAGAAACAATGTGTTGCAGACCGAATAAAAATTCCAGAGCTACCCACCCAGTATGGAGACATGTGCCTGAATTGCAACAGTCTGTCAATCCTGGATCAGCTGTCATAGAAAGCAATCATTCTTGACACTGAGGGATTGCTCAGATTCTCTCTCTCTCTCTCTCTCTCTCTCTCTCTATATATGATTTTTCTAAAAATAAATGGATTGTAAAATTAGTGCTTTATTTTTGAGCATATAGCATGATCTCAAATAAGATATGCACCTTGTTTTTGGAAAGGCAAAATAAAGAAAAAAAATATTTGTTTTGAGAGAGATGGCTGGGACAGAGTCTAATCTTCTGCTGAGCCACTTTCCCTTTCCTTCTTAACTAAAAGCTGAGGGTGTGTGTAGATGAAACAGGGGCCCTAAATTGAAGCGGTGGGTTTTAAAAAACACTGCTTCAATTTAGGGCTGATTAAACCCCTGTGTCATTCACACACCCTGCTGACTTACCTGCTTCTCTGGTGGGAAGGGGAGGGTGAGCTGCCGGTGGGCAGAGCAGTCCTTGGGTTGTGGAGAGGGGCGGGGGGCTGGTGCTTCCCTTTGCAGCAGTGGCAGCCCACCCCCCAAGCACCACCTGCCCTCAGGCACTCAGCTTGGGTGGTCCCAGGGGGCACTGCAGCCACGGAGGGAAGCACCAGGCCTCCACGCAGCTCAGATAGGCGGGCTCCAGGGGAAAAAAAAAAAGAATTAGGCTCACTACTTGTCTTGGGCAGAGTCTGCTTCCCCAGGCTGCTGCCAGGCTGCCTGCAGGGCTTCCTCTAGAGCCACAGAGCTGCAGAGAGCCCGGTGCATCACTCCATGGCTGTGGGGGCAGCAAACTAAAACTCCTCAGAGGAGTTTTAGTTTGCTGTGCCCCAAGTCATTGAAGGTGCATTACACCGCCAAATTTCCTACAGTGGCTGGAATTAATGTGCAGTATGCCGCTGAGGTGTGCAAACACTGACACCATTAAAGCATTGCAAAAGTATTTCACCCATTTTAAAGTGTCTTGCACACATGCCCCTCGTTTCATCTATATATGTCCTGAAACACTAGCTGTTGCTGAATACTGGTTTGCATGGGTGGATCTATGATTTTGAAAAGAGTTAAAGAATTTCTAGGGCAGTGAAATAGGAGAAGAGAGATCAAAAGCAATTAGTGGGCAGGAAAATAACCCTAAGAAAGGTTAGCCTGATTAGTGGAAAACCAAGACTTCTAAAAAGGAGAGACAATAATTAATGTCTGTGGAGTGAAGAACAATGAGCCAGTACGTTAACTCATTCTTTCAGATGCCTGAATGGCAATACTACTGCTGCTGCAATGTGGAGCAGGAATCATAGCAGGGTACTTCTATTCTGCCTACAGCATCAGCCCCCCTAGTTTAAGACCCTAATTATGTAATGGAGGCTGATTTGGGTTTAAAAGGTGCATGTGATATGTGAGTAAATACAGTATTTATTTGGCCAGTATTCTAAGCTACCAAGCTTCTGGCTCTCATACATGAAAAGAAAACTCATATGACAGTGTAGAAACTGGTGATGGCCACATCATTTCTGAAAGTGAGAACTTTGATATGTCTCAAATTCTGTAGCACTGTACATGGAATAATTAATCATCCTCATACCTTTTTCAGATAGTGATTATTTCCAGAGTACAGATAGTGACTGGAGGCACAGCAGCTTAAGTGAAATGCCTGGACATCACAAAATTAGTCAGTGGCAGAATGGACGCAAGAGAATATATGGCAGCTGTAAGCAGTGGTGACTTGTAGGGAGTGCATGGGGGTGTATGTGCACCCCCTGAGAGTGCTGGTGCATCCCCTGATGGTCGCATTCACCACTTAGGCGATGGGCAGGGGTGGCAGACGGGAGTGCTGGTGCCCCCCCCCGCGAGCACTGGCCAGGGAGCAGGGCCACCAAGTGAAGCAGCCATGCTCCCAGGTGGTGCATGAGCGCTGGCCAGGGAGTGGGGCTGCCAGCAGAAACGGCTACAGCCACTTCTGGAAGTCCCACGGCCTCTCCCGAAGTGCTGCAGCCACTTTTTGGTGAGTGAGATTAGCCATGGGAGAACCCCTCCATCTATGCGATCGGCCACGAGGGGATCCTCCCTCCGGTCACTGACTGGTCGTTGGGGGTCATGTGCCCCCCCTGACTCAAGAGGAACCAGTTGCCCATGGCTGTAAGATCAAACCTGATACTTTATACAATGGGCCATACTGCTTTGTATTTGCATGCTTCCAAAGACTACCTTAAAAATATGATACAGCACAAAAATTGTATTTGAGTGGTTTGGGTCAATGGCAGAGAAAGAAACAGAAATAATTCCTAAAACTGTGTGCAATGTTATTGAGGAACAAAGTGAATGAACAATGGGAAAATAAACTTTTCATCTTACTTAATTCTTTGTTCTTTATGTCTAAACAAGGGTGTTTAAATTCTACTACCATATGGGTGGCAAATGATGATAATAAAATCATTAGTTGTATTAATTGTTCTATGAATGAAATGATTGTGTCCCAGTTTGTGCAGTGTCCATCCTGTGGCAATACATTTGTATGGCTGAAATTTAGTTTCAGAACATGACCTGAAGAAAACACCAGTATGTATAGCACAGTTACAAGTACAAAAAAGTTCAAATACATACCCTCCCATACATGTTTCTGTAAGCCTCTGCAATCATAAGTCTTTGTGCATTGCAACGCTGTGTTAGAATATCAATCAACGTATCCTTTTCACAACCTGGAAAGGAAACCAGACAAAATTTCTAGATTATACTCTTGTTGCTTATATAGTAATTAGTTTTTGGTCAGTGGGACACAAGATGCCATATTTATTTCAAATGTATTCATCATATTTCTTGAAGAACCTAATTCAGAGTAATATTACATTGGTATTTGTGAACATCAATAATATTTACCATGTTTCTGTATCTTTCACTTGCTGGCATACCACCGGTGAATAGTCAAGTAAGTCTGTATTATTGTTGGATACATTACCATATCTCTCAAGGGCAATAGACTTGAAAGCATCAGTAAAATAGATAAAAGCTTCCATCCAAAGAAACATAGGTAGAATTTATAGCTGGGCCTGGGAGGTCATGTTTGTGTGGCCTCCTGATGCTGATTAAATTGTCATTTTTATGTTAGTAACCTCTGTTATTGGAATGGTTGTTTACAGTCTGGCCATTAGTTGAACATTTGAAGAATACATGTGCTCAGAAAGATAGTATAAAAAAAGGGTGGGCAAAATATGTCCCACAGGCTGGATCTGGCCCGCCAAGGGATTTTATCCAGAACCATGGTCGGTCCCCTATCCCCACCTGGCCCAGGTGCGGGAGGCAGCTTAGACTGTGATGCATGTGGGTGGTCCCACTGCCCCTGGGTGCATGGCAGGGCAAGAGCAGTGTGGCAGCTGGACTGGGCTTCCCAGCAGCCCCTTTGGTGGTGGCTCACTCTGCCCAGCTGCTGCTGCCAGTCTGCCCAACATGCACCACTGTGGGCACTGGATGGAAATGGTGGGCAGGTGGGATCTCCATCGAGACTGTCCTGGGATCCCTGTGGGTAGGGTGTACTTGGCAAGGGGGATGGGATGGGGCCACAGTCATATGGGGAGTGGTGTCCAGGAGCAGGATGAGTGGGCAGGCAGGTACTGGGCTTAGGCTGGGGCCAGGATCACAGGGTAGTGACAGCGTGGGGCCAGGACCTGGGGCAGAGGTGCAATCTACTTCCCGCACATCCTTGCCTGCAGAACTGGCTCCTGTTACAGGCACATGCGTGGAGTGGATTATGACTCTGCCCTGGGCCCCAGCCCCATACTGTCACTGCCCTGTGATCCTGGTCCTGCCCCCCCAACCATTCTGTTCCCAGATACTGCTCCCCATCTACCTGCAGCCCTATCCAGTCTCCCCAGCTGAGCATGCCTTGCCTGTGAAGGTCCTGGGCCAGTCTCCATTGAGACCCCATGAGACACCCTGGCAGTGGGTGTGAGGTGGACAGCCCAGAATCAGATAGGACCAATTGTCCCCCCACCACGTTGGGCCAGTTTGGCAGCCCCCCCACCAGGCTGTGTCAGCAAAGTCCCTGACATGCTGGCCTGGGTCAGTACTACCTGCCATACTGAACTGGATCAGCAGCCCCTCCCCGCCATATCAGGTTGGGCCAGCATCTACCCCTCTCCCCACAGCCCACAACAGCTCACTGAAACTCCTTAAGTGGCTCTCCAGCCCAAATAATTGTCCGTCCCTGGTGTAAAATAAGATGGAGGATTTTTTTAAAATACTAATTTATGAATGGTGATTTAAGTCCTTAGATTACATTACATTTTCAATCCTACTTTGTGGTGGAAGGTTATGTGTGATCACCAGCTTATGACTGGTTATTAGAGCTACTTCCTAAACTTCCAAACTTGCCTGAGCAGTTATCAGGAGAAGGTAATAAGGGATGGATAATTACTGAATTATAAATAACTTTTATTTTGCTTTATGTCTTAAAAATAGAGCTTCATAATTTGATATGATTCCAAGTTTTTTAATGATATTTCAGGGGCAAATTCATCCCTGGTGGAACTCAATTGATTTTACTGGAGTTACAGGAAGAATTTGGTCTTCATGAGGAATTGCAGGAATTATTGTTGCTGGAAGCAAGAAGAAATGTGCTTCCTCCCTATTGGAAAAAGAAAAATGAAAATTATGTACTATGTTATTAAATCAAAACTCTAATGTTAATAATCTTTATCTATGGTATTGGGTCAGGAAATGAGTAGGAGTATAATTACTTGTGGAGTTACTGAGGGTCAAATGAGGTAAGGCTACATTTCAGAGCAATAGTAACAAAGTCAGAGATTAATGTGTGTAGAGCAAAAGGTTTTTCACTTGATTTGCATTCTAGCATTTTAATTGCAAGTATGTATAGTAGATGATATATTCTTTTAGCATTGTGTCAATGTTTGGTCAAACTTCATCGCTTCAACTGAAGCATTGAAATCAGACTGACACAGGAGTGAAAGAGAAACCTTGAAAATTAGACTTATAGTAAGCTTTAAACTGTTTAACTATGTTATAATATAGCATGTATTTGCATCTGCTTGACCTGAGTTTGTGTAAGAGAAGAGGAAGCAAAAGAAATGTATAGGTGAGAGAATGTTAGAGGTGAGAAGAGTTTAGAAGACATGAGAAAGACAAGTCAGAAGACTGTGATAGTATTTTAGTGATGTTGTATCTGTGATCAGTGGCATAACACCATGGCCAGGTACCTGAGGCTGCTACCATATACAAAACCAGCAACTTCCTGATAGCTTTGCCGCCTTTGGCACAATCATGCAGCTGTAGCAGCAGCTGTTCTTATTCCACCCTGAGTAAGTCAGCGCCTGGGGCAACTGCCTCAGTTACCCCGCTTTAGCTGTGCAACTGGCTGGGATGGCCCAGGAAAAATGCAAGAAACAAAGATTTTGGTGGTGGCATTTTTTATTGGATCAACTTCATGGTTTGGATGGAAAAGCTTTGAAATACAGTCCATTCTTTTTTAGTTCAGAAGTAGTGAGATAAAAGTCGCTTATTTTTTTGTTTATGGCTTTATACCAGTTAGATCTGATTTAGGATATGACATAGTTTATTAAGGGGTATACCAGTCACCCAGCTTCCTTATCAAGGCCAGGCAGTTTTGTGTTCAGGGTCTCCAGTTAGTTTATTTTACATGGGGTAACCTTGCTCCCACATTAAACAAACAAAAGGGTGGAAATATTAAAACATTTGGTCAATTATTAATATTTGATTACTAGCCAATTGCCTGTCAAGAATGACGGGGGGAGGGGTGGACAGTGGCCCATGTCTGGCCCCACCTCCCTGCTGTGTTTTGGGTCTGGTGCTGCTCCCCCAACCCGCAGTCCAGGCCTGTTTCCCCCTTCCTCACCGCTTCTGGTCCTCGCCCGTTCCCTCCCACCCTGCACTCTGGGTCCAGCCCCACTCCTCCCACCTCCACACTCCGGGTCTGCCTGGCCAGCATCCACCTCCCTCCCCTCCCTGATCCCCTCCCTCCCAGGTTTTGGCAGGGCCAGGTGGTGGTGAGGCGTTGTCACCATACCCCCTCCCCCTCCCCCCCCCGGCTTTTGTCGGGGCCCGGTGAGAGTGGCATGCTCCCCGCTGTCATGGTGGGTGGAGATGGAGTCCCGTTTTTGGCCCCACCCCCACTTTTCTCATCCAGTCGGGGGAGGGGGTGAATGGGCCCACTCCCATCACCCTTGCCCCTACTGCTTTGGGGCTGGGCCCGATTTCCTCCCCCTCTGCCTTCAGGGCTGTTGTTGGGGCACAGCAGCGGCAGGGCGCCACCACTGTGACCTCCCACCCCCTCCTACTCCTCTCTCTCGCTGGCATTTGTCAGGGCCTGGTGGCTCTGTGTCCCTCTGTGTCTGGCTCCACCCCTGCTTCTCATCCTCGGCATTGCTTGATGGGAGTGGGGTGGGGGAGGTTAGGCCAATACTGCTGGCCTCACCTTCCCGACACTCTGCCCGGTCCTTGGCACTGGTTGCCGGGAGCGGGGCAGGGGAGGGGAGGTGAGGCCAGCACCACTGGCCCACGCTCTGAACGGTTGTCACTGCTGTTTCACTGTCATGATGGTGCTCTGCCATGCTGTCTCCTGTCAAACACTTGTGGAGCACTCTGATTGGCTGTTTCAGTCAGCCAATCAGAGTGCAAATAAAGTTTTATGGACAGACAGACAGACAGACTAAGTCTTTTATAATATTAGAATTTGATTTGAAATGCTTTACCTATACAGTCTTATAATTCATATGCTATTTGTACGTCAATATTAACATTGCTATTAAAGTGTATTTAAATTTTTATTTTCTTGATTACTTGATTTTGGTGCAATAGGCTCCCTGAACCTTCTTTGGACCCTGGAATACCTCTGGCAGGGGCCCACAAAACTGACATGATCAGCTATAGGCAGAAAACACTTTTGAAAGTTTATGAATACCTTAACAGTATTTAGGCCAAATTTTGGGCTGCACTCCAGATCTGGTGGGAATGGCAGGTTGGAGCTGTTTGCAGCTTCCTCACTCTGAGACTGATATTACATTTGGTGTTAGTCCCAGCTTATTTAAATGCAGGCGTGAGGCTTCCTTGTGTCTCACTGGTGTCAGTAGGACAGCAATGTGTTTAATAATAAGCTTGTGCTTATGTGCTCTGCTGGAATTTGGTTTTAGGCTTGTAATCTCTTCCTTGCACTGAAACTTTCTGCTAGGATGCAGGAATGATTTGGCCATGCACTCCCCTATCCAGTCTGGGGAGGAAATGTCATCATAAATTGGCTATAAAGTAGGTGAGAACTTTTCATGCATGGACATTCCAGTTATGGGCCCAGCTTTTTCTATCCCAATATGTATCTGAAATAACTGAATGGAATTACACAGTGATAAAAATCGATGAATCAGATTGTTTGTCATATTTCTTGGTATCTAACTATTCAGTCATTCAGGAAAACATTTTTTCATTAAAAGTATGCATTTCTTAACTGGTAACACAGAAGACTCCAAAGAAGACTCCAAAGATGAAATGATAGTGGAGACTGGGTTTGATGCCAGGTGATAGCAAATTACACCATACAGGTGGTAATATTTCATTAGATAGATTTCCTTACCATTCTTATAAGTAAAGGAGAAACAAATTCCTACTAAAGAAGAGGTGGCCAGTCAAAAGACAGCTTATATTTATCTTTTTACAGACTAAAACTGTCTCTGTACTTTACAGGTATTGCACAATTAACTGGTCAATTGCTCAATTATCTTGAGACCATCTAGACACGCAAAGTACTTATCACCTGATAAAAAGCTCCAATGAGCTGTAAAGTTAGACCTCAAAAATAAGTATAAACTTCATAGGTGGTTGCTGTTGAGCTTTAATTTGCATGTGTAGCAGGGCCTCCCTTGCAGTTGGGAGCCTGTCAGCTAATGGGTCTCCCAACTGTAGGGATGCACCTTGCCCATCTGGGGGGTGTGAGTCCCTCAACTGCTGGGAACTCTCAGCCTAAGCAACTGCAGACTCTGGGTCCTAGCAGCACCCTGCAGCTGCCAGGACCCAGAGTCCTGCAGCTGTGGACATTGGGTTCCTGCAGCATGCCTCCTGGTGTTGGGACCCAGCTGGGGGTGCTCACAGCCGCAGGGAATAGCTTCTTGCTAGTGCAGGAAGCCCAGGATCATGCTCTCCTTGCACCAGCAATAAGGGGAGATGGAATCTAATGCATGATCCTACAATTGCACCTTTTGCCATACACATCTGACACATGTGCCTTTACCTGCACATGTAGAGGAGGCCCAAATTGAACACATAAGTTCTGATGACTGAAGACTGTATCATGGGAAAAGTTGGATGCATAACAAGATACCTCATGATCAAAATATAACAAAACTGGTTAATGGTACATGTGTGACCCCTTGATCTTCTTTAGAAATATATACCACATCTACTGATTATGGTTACTGTGGCAGGGACTGCAGTTAAATAATAACTAATAGAAGGAATAACATATTTTGTTCTTCTGGGTGCTACTAAAGTAAAGTCAGGATTGAGTCCTGTGTCCTGTGTAGAATACATATGCAAAGATATGGTCCCTGCCTCAACAAACATTTAATTTAATATGAAAGAAATTAATTTAAGGGAAAATTGTGTGGAAATAGAATATAAAATTATGGTAAGAGCTTTAATAAACATGTGTGCAATATAATGGTACCCATTTAGAAGATTATTATTATTAATAATCCACTGGTCTTGTAACTAGCCATGAACTGAGAGTTCCTATAGGGATCAAAAGTATAAATGGGCTTTGATGCAGGATGGATGTCATCAAGCAGATAAAGCTAGACTTTTTTCCCAAAAATTACAACTACATTTTTTCATTTCTCATAATCTATTAAAATAAATCAATTAGCTTTGTAGCTAGTCAAAAAGCATAAACAGTTTCAATGAAAATTCTATAACACTGCATTATGCAATTTCCAATAAAAAATATTTTTTAAAATTTCCAGAATTCCATTAGGGGAAAATTTGAATTTTTAATGAAATGTCATTGAAAATTCCAAATTAAGAGAGTCTACAAATGTTATATGTGGACTATTTTAGGGAGAGTTTACCTTTCAGTGGGGGCATCAACATGTTTATTAATGTGCCATAATTATGGCTCATTAAGGTTAATACTTGGATAACCAGGGACTAAATCAATGTGGAGTAACTCATGCTACTGTGCAGCAGTGCTGGCGCGTGGGTTTATAGTGATGCTTACTGTGCAGTAGCCTAATACAACTGCATAGTAGTGTATTAGTACATTTTTCTGCCTGGCATGCTACTGCGTAGTGCTATTAGGCTACTGTGCAGTTATCATCTTGTGTGGACACACCCGGTCAGACTTACTCTTTTTTTGGGTAAGCTTAACTCAATATCTAATAAGCTATATTTACATCTATATTAATTAACAATTTATATGGATAGCTATACTGAATCTATGGCAAATGCCATAGTGATTCTTCATAACAGGAAATCTATTAGTGAAATTGATTTATATCTTTATATTATTTCTGACCTGGAGAAATGTTTGTGTAATAAGCTTTTCATACATGCACCAAAATCTGAGGGTTTTTTTAAAATGAGGTGAAAATTAAAGGCAATCTGTAGGTGAGTTATTGATTGAAATGTCTGATGATTAGTAACCTGGCATTGGAGAAAGGTAAAGGCTTTGTTTGTTTTGTTTTGTTTTTTGGTGTTCTTTATTTTTTGGATAAATTCACGACTTCTTGGGAACCCACAGATTTTATTATGGGACTTTTAACTCACAGGTTCTATCCAGCTATATTATATCAGATGCAAGGAAAATAATGGCTTACAATATTATGTTGCCAAGTGTGAATTATAATCGTAAAACGAATACTATGAAAAATCTGCCCAGAAGGGCAGAAACTATATCACTGCTGTTTGTTCTTTTTAAAGGAATATTAAATGCAAAGAACAGAAAAGCCATGGGAGCAGGCCCCAGGATCCGGAATGTATCCCTTTCAGGGCCACATCCATGTCACCGAGCCACCCTTTCTCTGGTTTGCTCATAGCTCCACCTATCTTCTCTCCCTGTCTCTCACATGAGCCAACTTCAAAGAGAGGCCTGGACAGTGGTCTGGGTAATGTAAGACTGTAGCCAGTAGTGAGAGGACTTTTTTGGGAAGTGGAAGATGCTCATTCAAACTGGATGTGGGGGGGAGGAGGGGGAAGGGGCAAAATGTAGAACCTGGGTGTCATGCTCCCTAGTCAAGTATCCTTACCATTAAGTTATGGGGCTAAAAGAAGGAAGAGACTTTTCTTTTACTCTTCCATGTTACTTCCTGCAAGCACACACACACACGTCAGCAAGCCTATCTGCTAATACAAGAAATATTTACATTCAAATAATTTTACTCATCAGGAATATTTTCACTGAGACCAATGCGGCTGCTAATTACAGTATCCATGACTGAAGTTATTTACATGCATACATGTTTCTAAGATTGGGGCTGTTGACTGTAAATCTTTTCAAGGCTGTGAAGATGTCTCAGAGCATGGTTCTACTGAGTCAAATGTTGCATTTTTTGGGTAAGCAGGTAAGTCTTAACTAACCTGGTTAAGACTAAAGTTCTTGTTTAAGGTATAACAACTATCTGAATATAACTGTGTAACCTGTAAACAATTGAATTAATCCAAATGAAATATCAAATTGCTCCTAAGAAATCAACAATACTCCTTTTTTGTGCACAATGGGATCATTGTTGAATGGAGGCACATACCCTCCACTGAAGAAACTGGCTGAAAAGATGGCCAAATATGGGGTTGTATGACTTTGTGAAAAACCAAGATGAACAAAAAATTCCAATGCAGACACCAAAGAACATCCTTTGGGAATAGCTAATTAACTGTAGAGGTCAAAATTAAGTCTTTTCTCCTTTTTTGCCTCACCACAAAGGAGAAATAAAATATACTAGTACAAAATAAAAATAGCTTTCTTTTTCCTAATCATTCTTTTGAAAAAAAAAAGACCTGTGAATACTATAAAAATTGTCCTGGTCCTTTGTGCCTATTCTAATCACCTTCAAATTTCTTCAGATGCAAACACACTTATTTTGGATGTCATCAGAGGTTATTTATTTTTTATTCTGATATCTTTTTTTAAATAAATCAACTGATAGGGGAAAGAATCATTGTTGTTTTTCTTTAGTCTTTTTTTGTGTCTGCTGCTGCTTTTTAGTTCCATGTGTTTTTTTGGTTTGATGTTTTTTCCTCCAGCCCCTAAAGGTATTTCCAAAGACATGCTGAAAGAGAAGATGGGTTGGAAGTGTCAGTCAGTATACTTACTTATTCCCTGTAGGGCTCCCCCTAGCATCTGAGCATCTATAACAGGGTTGAAATTTGGAGCAGGGAAGATTGTTCCTTGTATCTGCTAAAAGGGAAAGA